AGAGATATCGGCACGCAAATCCACGCGGAATTGAAAATATCTCAAGAGCACGGGGAGGAGGAGTGGAGGAAGAACGATTCCGATAAAAATGTGGGAGCGAGGGTTCATAGAGAGAGTGGATTTGTGAATCTGGCGTTCAATTGCGGATGTCTTGTTATAAACATGTAAGTGCGAGTTCGTCAATTTCTGCCCAGACTTAACTATAGCGAACGAGAGAATTGCTAAATAATAAAATGATTATAATGACATTAGTATATATATATACATATACCATATATATATACTGATACGATACTGAAGCATCATCATCTTTTGTATCATTTGTTCGTTTGTTTTTATCTTACTGCGTTTGTCTTTCATTATTAATGCAATACCAAGATGACTCGGTTTCGACTCGGTATCTTGTGTGTAAATATATAACTAATAAAAAAAATATGTATACAAATGCACCGAGGGCAAATCTTATCGACGAATCTTCCTTGCACTCCCCTTTTTCAGGATTTCCACATTCTACAGTGTTAAGTACCAAATATCAGTGATTTAAATAGTTTATTTAACATACTCGTATTAAATACATCACTTGTATGAGATACAACGCAATAAGCAGACCGGATGAGCAAAAAGGTCTGTCGATATTCAGAACCATTGTTTAAAACGATGAATTATTTCGCTGCTAATTTTAATTAGTGAAAATAGATGCGAGTTCTGAATACAGACTATGAAGAACGCTAGGAGTGTATAAAGAATGAAAAAAAGGATGAGTAAGTAACGAACCTCTTTGAGGAAAAGGACAGTTTTAGAGAGACAGAAGGCACAGGATGATCTAACATTATATGTATGTACTCCTTGGCGACGTATGCATTCGTACTGAATCTGTGAATTCGGCTTCTAACGACAGATGGATGGATGCTACACACACATATTCTTCTAATGAAAATATAAGATCGATGACTGATTTTAAATAACTGTCGGAGATCGTTGCATGCACGACAATATAGATAGATATATATATGAATACCACAGCATATATGTAGTCAATAATCTCGAAGTAAATCTTCCAACGCTTTTGTTTCGATGCTACCTCCGCCTCTCTCCCTTTTGGGTTTTTCTTTTCTCTTTTTTCTCTTCCTTCAATTGCTTTTGCTTCTCTCTAAAACAAAATTATATTTAAAGTTTTATATATTTATCATATACATATAAATAGTCTTTTAGTGCATTAACGCTGCGATTATTGTCCTACCTGTCTTCCTTGTCCTTCTCCTTCTTCTTCTGGCTCTCCAGCTTGGCTTTTTCTCTCTTTTCTCTCTCCTGCTGTACGATAGTAGCTGCGTTTAAGTTCTTTTCGATTCCACAGTCTCCGCCGTTCGCTCCATCCTCTTCCTTGTCTCCCTCGCTATTGTCTTCGTCAGACATTTGACTGTATTGCGCTAGTATAGCCTCCCGTATTCGTTTCTCCTCCTCCGTGTAGCTCCTCTGCGTCGTCGTGGGTAGACTCTGCGACTCCAGCATCTTTGCCAGTCTGACATCGACGTCTTCCGTCGGTGCAGGCGCCCCGGCCACTTCCGCAGCTGGCTGCCACTCTGCCCACGCGCTTAAGATTTCTGCTACATGACTGCTAATATCATCCTCCTGCAACGCCGGCGGCTGAATTGACTGCAACAGCCACATCAATGTCTGCTGTTGCTGTTCCTGCTGTTGCAGGTGATGTCGCAGCACCGTCCTTATTATCTCATGCTGGAGCTGGAACCTCCTTTGCTCCACCTGAT